CATGTTTTGAATGAGTAGGTTATCACAAGTGGAACTTGCTTCTTCAGGCCAGTCTGTTAGTCAGTCTATTCCCGCTTAACTTCATTTCTACTTAATTACCTGAATTCTTGGGAAATGTTGCCCTTCTGCACATTTCCCTTTCCTTTCTTTGCAGTGAGCTGGTCATCACTGATGGATGCTGTTGGAGGGTCATTTTTAATCATTGTTCGTGACATCCATATCTCTGCAGTTTTATTTTCCCTGCCGATGCAGAAGTGAGGTACAGATATTTTTGTTTAAAAACTAATATGGTTATATCTTTCTGATATCAATCCAGTATTGAAAACTCAAAAGAATTATGGTTATATCTTTCTCGATTTTGTTTTGAGCACCAAAATTCAATTTCCGAATGAATCTGGCTAAGTGGTTCCATTTCTGGAAACAGCCGGCTGAAATTATCACACAGACTTACAGCTTCTACAGGATTGCATTTATGTTACATCCAAGCACTTAGATCTGTTCGTTATTGATGAGGCTTCTCATAACCCTTGACTTCCTAATTTAAAAGGGAGGCCAACTTTCGTTTTGATTCTGCGTACTAATGTTTCCTAGCAAACTCTCTATTTTATATAATTCATTGAAAGGGCCATTGGCTTTCTTCAGATTAGAGGCGTCATTGACTCTATCTCTGAAACTGTGCCTTCGATTATATCTAAATATGTAAGTGAAAAAGAGCTGTTTCTTTGAAGAGAAGCGAAAGCAATACTGAAGAAACAGTTTGAAGTTCTTGGTTGGGGTGGGGACGTATTGCTTTTACGCTAACCAGCGACGTGATATCTTAATTCCTGGTTTAAAGCGCCTGAATTAGAAAGAGCAGAGCAGATGGATTAGCGTTTATCTGAACTATAGGAAATCATCTGATTTCACTGTTGAAGGCATTGAAAATAACAAAAAAAGTTTTAGGAACCGTAAATTAGGTTAACCGAAAAACTACTGCGCAACTTGGGTATATTATGAATTATATTATGTTTTTATTGCTATGATGTAGTGATGAAAGGGGTTAAATTTTATTCGAACACAGTAGCTCAACGTTGTAATGTGCTTTATATTATGCAATGTTAAGCAAATAATGATGTATGATGATTATTAGAGTATACCGTCAATTTTGTCCGATAACCTTATTGATGGGCAGTATGAACGGTGTCCAACGCGTTAAGCTTCAGCTAAGACTTTTGGTTTCTCCAGTTATTGCTTAAGAAGTTTTCTTATTTGCGAAATCATTATCTGGGTTATGAATTGAGAAAACGTCAAAATTACTCAAGCGTTTATTTCACACAGTGCCTTTTTCTGCAAGACAGGCACGCACCTACAAGTCGTTATGCTAAGGAGCATCGAAAGCATTGAGTTTGTGTTATGCAGTAATGGTTAATTATTTAACACTGATGCCATTTGTATTATTATAGAGCACCACCAGGCCGGTGTACAATTTGATTCGATCGGATCTAAGCAAAATTGACAACGTGATTTTGTATGATTCTGAAAGCCACCAAAAATCGCTCATTGCTCACCTAATACACCAGCTCTTTTTGTTTACTGCTGTGAGAATAAACATGATGAACTGGTTGTAATCTTATTGCCTTACTTCCTGTTGATTAACGCCTTTCGTTTAGGTACGAGAAGCTGTCTACAGTCGGCAGTGGCAAAGGTCTGTCACGAGAAGAGGCATTGGCTTGCGTCGAAGACATTTTGCAGAAGCGCGCCGGCTCGTTTCACCATCCCGTTATTAGCCAACTGGAGTCAAGTTTCATGTGCGAGCTAACTTCTTTCATGTCTGTTTTGCATGTAATCCTCTGACTTTCAGACTCGAATGCGAGATCTTGATTCATCTGCTACGCTGTCATTTGAGTATAAGCCAAATGACATTTCTCGAACCGCTTCATAACCTCAGAGAGGCACAGTCGAGACTCAACGCGTGGATCAGCGATACAGTTGACTCTGAACCGATGCCGCAGGTATGGACTTACTCCCTGGCGTATCTATTTTCATCGAAGCGAAATTTGACGTGTACAGGATAAGCGTGTAATATTGCAGGAATGCGATGAAACCTCTCTTACACACAAACGCAACATAAAAGCAGTGATCCAAGCTATTTTTTGACATTATACAAAGGGAGGATTAAAAGCAAGGAAATATTCCAAAAACGAACAAAGGTAAAATTTCTCTACATTTTCTTTTATAAATAGTCTTAAATCAGTCATTGCCGGTCCGAAGCCCGCGTCAGAAAGGAGAATGGTTTGGGACAGTCGCGGGGTGTCCCTTGAAACTTAGCCACTTAATCCTCAGGGCATTTTCGTTATCAGACATTATACCGGATTGTTCGTCGTCCAGTCTACCTGCTGTTGGAAAAAACTGCGACAGACTGCGGAAAGTTGGCGATCGGAATCTGAATCTTTCTTCTGACATCTGGGAACAAGGCAGCACGGTTTTGGCTGCCGAAGATTAGCAAGAAAACGATGAAGATACCGGTCAGCAGTGGAATCGCAACATGGTCTGAACGGAGGAAGAGGAAAGCGCAATGATTTATGGCACGTCGGATAAGGCTTCAGGAAAATTTACCGCCGGTGGGAGCTAACAGTCGAAAATTAGAACATCTTACTCAGAGAGAAAGAGCAGAAACTAGTTCATGAGGCTGCTAGGCACCAACTGGATATAGTTGGATTCTCGTCGACGAAGCGCCGGGGCTCTTGATTTCTGAACCTCTGCTTCTAGGGGTTATTCTGTTCAAGCGTTGACATCGCGACACGCCGTTAGGCCGGTGTTCTGCTAAAACCCAACCTGACTAACGGAGTCATTAAATGGAAGCCTTTG